CTTTTTTTTTTTTTAAACATTTATTTATTTATTTATTTGTGTGTGTGTGTATGTGTGTGTGGCCAGCTCAGCCCACCAGGGGGCGGGGTGGGCTGGCATGTGGTGCTGGGGGATCGAACCGCGGTCCCTGTGCTTTATTAAGCTTGTTCTAAGTAGGTGCTTTAGACCACTGAGCCATCTCACCAGCCCCATGTACCTTGAAGCTATCCGAGAAATTAAAAAAAAAATACTGATGCTTGGACTCTACCTCCTGAAACCCAGATTGTGTGGGATGTAGACCAGCCATCAGGAATTTTGTTTCCGTGGTGCTAAGAATGGAACTGGGCCCTTGTGCGTCCTGGGAAATTACACTCCACTTTACCGCTGAGCTACATCTCCAGCCCAACATGACGGTATTTAAAAGACCCCACGATTTGGATTTGTAGTAGATTTTTGAGAACCAGTGTTTTATAGGATGAAATGACCTCTAGCATTGTTTTCTCTAGGCAGAAAAACTACATTTTACTTGCCTTTTCTCAAAGACCGTATTTCCTACAGTGCGGCTGGCTCCCAGCTCCATCTGGATTGCCAGAGCATAGATAATGACCTGGGTCCAGGTCATGATTATAGTCTGATGATTATTATGGAATATTTTATTTATAATCAAATTATCAAGTTAATTAAAATAAGATTATCTTGTTTATTTACAACCGAATTAGGGAGAAGTATGGCACAGTGGAAAGACATGGCTTTTTGAGGCATGGGTTCCTAATTATACTTCCACCCCTGAATGTATGATGTTTAGCAGGGACCAACTTCTTGGAGCCTTGGTTTCTCCAACCATGGGTTGGGGCTAATGCTCTCAGAGATGGCTTGCTGGTCACCGGGATGAAACACGTAAAGTGAGATAGCACCAGTAAAGCATGATACAAAGTGTGGTGGTAAGCAGATGTACGTTTGTCTTGCACTTCCTGGTGACCAGAAGTTTCCACCGTCATCGTGACAGATGAGCTAAATGTCCCTTGCTCTTGGAGCTGTTCTCTCCCAGGCTTCTAGGGCCCCAGGAGGACTTTTGGTGTCTTTGACTTCTTTATTCTGGGAGCAGAAGCTCTACCACCTGTGGGGAAAATCAGGTGGCCCTTGGCTCCCGGGTCCCTGTTTCTTAGGACAGATGCTCCTATGCATGAAATAAAACTCAGATCTGTAGATTGAATAATCCAAATAGAAATAAGCACTGTATGTAAATAATATTTTATGTATGATATGATTTAAATATTTATTCATAACTAAATGAATAGTAAATGTTGTAAGTACATATTTGGTACAGTGATTCTCCATCTCTGTCTCCACTGCAGTAGACCAGAGGGATGGTCTCTTACATCAGTCTCCTCAGCCACCAGCCCTTCTGTCCCTCGACTTTCTAACAAGGATGATAGCCCTTCCTTGTTAGGAAGGATGATCTGTCCCTTCTAACAAGGATGATCTGTCCCTTCCCATCTTGGCCAGGGGAATATTTCTAGTGCCTGGATGAAGTAGGGAGAGGGTTGGATAGTCCAAATTTCTTTCTTCTTCCCCCTCATTTTTGAGATGTAGAAAGTGAGTTTCAGAGAAATGGAGTGACTCGCCCAGGGTCACCTAGATTGTGCCAACTGTGCACCTGAAACTCACTTCTCACAACCTTTCCCAAGCACCATGTCTCTGCTTTTTTAAAAAAAATTATTGCAGGGTGGCTTTCTCCTCATCATCTAAAAGATTCCAGATGGCTCCTTACTACTCATCGTGGGCTCGAAACGCAAGGAGTACACACAGAACACACCGACACGAAAGAAATAGAATTGTCCAATCTGCTAAAAAAGATCAGGCAATAGTCTTTAATGCCAATTGTGGATTATTTTTGTATGTAGACATATGAACAGATAGTTAAAATGCAGCGTGACACTTGTTATACTAGAAGGACGTACAAGGCGATGTAGGAAACCTGAAGAGGGACTAATTAACTCATCCCAGGGGAAATTAACCCTGCTTCTCAAGGGCAGTACATTTGAACAGGTTTGAAAGGATGAATAGGAGTTTATCTGAAAAGGACAGGAGCAAGAAAGTATTTCGGAAAGCGAGAACAGCATCTTTAGAGAGTCATGCGGATGGTTGGTCTCTTAGGGAGATAGAAATTTTTGGCTGGCAAACACAGATGAAGCTAGAGATAAGGCCAGAAAGCCTTGAAGGCCACACTGTGGATTTTGACTTCAAGGCCAGGAAAGTTAGGGGTGTGTGAGGAGGCCCTGGCTGATGATTCAGTTCTCTCTCCCTTTTCATTCTGTTAATGAGAATGTGTTACTATGATTAATGCTAGGACATCTGGTACTCAGGAGTTAGAGGTCTTGTGGAAATCATTGGTAGAGTAGCATTTTCACCCAGGAGGTATGTGAGGAGGGCTCCCCAGGGTGAGCCAAGTGGGAGGGGAGGACAGTCACTTGGTGGCTCTGGATGATGTCACTTGTGGAGAGTATCCTTCTCTACTTCTGGCCACTGTTCTTGACTGGCAGGTGAGTCCAGATGCTGTTCTGTCATCCAAGTCCATGGCTCTGCAAAGACAGGGAATTTTGTTTCTGTGGGGAAAAGAGGGAGTATTGAACTATTATTTTATATGATTTGTGGATTTTGATTTTGTAACAATTAGCTTTTACTGGATAGTAATCAACCCTATCAAAACAATTAAACTTGATTTGGTTTATGATACTATAGATTGGTAATCTAGGCTAGGAGTCTTTCTGTGGTTCTTTGGGGATTGAACCCAGGGCCTTCACACTGAGTTACATCTCCATCATAAGCTTCTTTTTCTCGGACAAAGTCTTCCTAAATTGCTCAGGCTGGCCAGGTATGGAGGTGTACCCTTGTAATCCCAGAACTCAAGAGGCTGAGACCCAAGGATTGCTAGCCTGGGTTACAAACTGAGTTCAAGGCTAGCCTAAACTACATAGTGAAACACTGTCTCAGAAAGACACACACACAACAGTAATGGTAATAGGAATGGTAATGGTAATAATAACAATGATAATAAATTGCTCAGGCTGCACTTGAAATTGGAATCTTCTTGCCTCAGCCTCCCAGAGTGCTTGGATAATAGGGATGTGTTACTACACCTGGCTGTGTCTGGGTGGCTCCCCTGGGCTGGGCTGGGTTGGGCTGAGCTAGTCTTGGCTATACCTGTGTTTGCCAGTTGGAGCCAGCTGGTGTAGGATGCCTCCAAAAGGATGTCTGAGACCGCTGAGTTCTCTCCCTTTGTGGTCTCTCATCTTCCAGAAATCTAAACTCCCCAGGGTAGATTTTTTGAAAGGTTGTCTTATTTATTTATTTAGTATTTTAGGGAAGGGTCTACAGGGTGTTCAGGGTCTCATTACTATATTGGACTCATAATGATCCACCTGTTTACAGCCTCCCAAGAACTGGCACTACAGGCGCACCACCACGCCGTCTCAATTGCCGTCTCAATGCGCCCCAGGGGCAGGGCTGGCAGGCATGACAGGCCCAGGGATCGAACTCCCAGCTCCTGTGCCTGCTTGCAAGCACTTTAATCTGCTGAGCTATTTGGCTGGCCTGAAAGGCTGTCTTAGAGTTAGTTCTAAGAGCAAAAACAGAGTCATACAAAGCTATTTAGGGCTAGGCTTGGATCTTGTTTATTATCATATTTGTTACATTCTGTTGGCCAAAGCAAGTCATGAGGCTAGCCTAGATACGAAAGGTAGAAAGTCCTATAGTTACAGGGTAGGCTTGTGGAGGGATGAATTCAGAGAAGAATTTGTAGCCAACTTTTCAATCTACCACCCAGACTAACTTTCATCATGATCGAGAGTTGGTAATTAAGGTCATTGCTTTACTGTGATTGAGATGTAAACAACCTTTTGGATTTAAAGTTAACCTTTATGGAGGACTATGTGTTCTCAAGTATTATCTAATTTAACTCTTACAGGAGCACTTATTTTCCCTTTTTGTTTACATATGGTGGAAGAAACATAGTGGAGTACAGTGAGATTAAGTTACTTGCCCAAGGTCATTGGACAGTAAACCTTGTACTTGCATGTAAATTTGTCTGAGTGCATGTCTATGACAACTGGCTTTGTATCATCTATGTTGACCATATAAGACCATGGTGGTTCTGCTGCAGTCACTGCCTGAATCAGCTCCTTTCCCAGCATCCTCACCCCTCGGATGTATCGTTCTACTCCGGGAGTTCATCTCTTGGTTCCCATGGGGCTGATTGTTTGTGGTGTGAGTCACTGTAGTCTCCAGGGTGACAGTGTCACAGCACTTACATAGTTCAGAAGCTCACTATGCCATGGAATGTGTTAAAATTTTTTTGTACTTCTCTAGAGAAAGGGAGTAAGTCAAGCTGTTCATAGGTGTCGTACATACGGTGCACCTGACGTGGACCGGGTGGGTGTAGCCCAGCCGAAGACCTCTGAACCTCTGAGCACACTGGTATGGGTTCTACTAAGAGAAAAACATCTCTGAGATGGACAGACAGAGAGTCTTTGTCTTTCTCTAGCTGGAGCCTCCTAGAAGCTCTCACTTTGAGGTCTCTAGAGTAATCTTGCTATAAGGTGACCTTAATGACCAGAGCTATGCTCTGGGCTAAACTGAGTCTCCAGAGCTTGCCTGGATGGGAGCTGAGCTTTCAGGGATGTAAAGTGAGAGATGGAAGCAGTAAAAAAGCATCTGATTGTCAGAAGCAGAGCAGGGATGGTTATATAGAAGCATGGCTTGTGAGGAGGGGAGAAAGCCAGGACTGGGTAGTGACAGGGATTGGAGGAGACTAGATGGTCTGTAGGGCAGGCCTGCAATGGGACAGTCATGTTCAGAGTGTCTGCATGGTGACTGCAAGCTATAGCATCAAACACAGCTCATGTGGGCACAGGGGGCTATTACCCCGTATGTTGGTGTTACGTGTCAGGAAGCCTCTGTGGAGGCCTCATGTGTAACCTGCTCCATCACCCTGACGCTGTTGTCTTTCTTTCCTCCTGCAGAGCTCATCTCCTGTCCTGGGTGTAACCGAGTATATCTTACCAGGGATGTAACTGAACATTTTTCTCTGCAGTGCTTTCCTCCTGAGCAACCCAAAATGGCCAGGGTAAGTCAAGACAAAGAAAGCAAGCAGCTGATCCTTTTTAGAAATTTGTGAGGTTTCTGGCTGTGAGTCTATCCACCTATCATGCTATCTGACCTGCTGTTCTTCCAGCTTTCATAGCCATCAATCCACCTGCATACCTGGAAGGAAATAAAAGTGTTCAATTTGGGAGTTTTCTATTAAGTGAAAAATATATAGGCTTTTCTTTTAGTGTCTACTTTTCTTGTTCTTTTGTTTGTTTTGGTTTGGCTATCCTAGGATTTAACACACAGCTCTTGCACTTTGCCCACCCCTTTCAAATTGTTTATTTTTGAGACAAGGTATTGTTCAGTTGACAAACTGCCCAAGATGGGCTCAAACCTGCAATCCTCCTGCCTCAGCCTACCAAATACTAAGATTACAGTTGTGCCTCCCACACCTCACCTAGCTGGTGTCAGTTGAGTGGAAGTTGGCTATATCTTAAGGTACATTAAGTATTATTTAATTTAAATAGGTTTTTTTTTTTTTTTTGCTCTTAGACCTCTTATTTTGCCTTTATTTTCTTTTTTTCCCCTTGTGTCAAAATTCACACACCAGTCTAGGGTTAAGGGGCTTGTTAATCTTGCCCATATTTAAGAACTACCACCTTTTTCCCGAATTTCTAAATTTTGCTGTTTTTTTCTTTGTGGTACCAGGGATCGAACTCAGGGCCTTGCACTTACCAGGCAGGTGCTTATGCCACTGAGCTATCTCTCCACCCTGAGTTTCTAAATTTCACATCTCTTACTGAATGGAGTGCTCTCTGATCCTTTCTCCATTTAGGTATCCCTACCCACTACATTTTATTTGTTCATATATTTACTTAAGTTGTTCTTTTAATTCTTATTGAACACTTATTATATGTCAGGCCCTGCTGGGTGCAGGGAGAGAAAGCCATGTATTGTTCATCTAAGGAATTAATAGTCTAAGTAGCAAAACTTTCAGAAGCCATATCAGTTTGGTGGCTAGTATGAGTCAAGCACAGTTAACCAAGCTTTCCCAGTATGCTTGGAATGACAGTTTAAGTCGGTTCTGGTAAGATGTTTGTTGATTGAATGAATGAACATTTAGACTAGGACAGGATTAGGCAGTCGGTTAAGCAGACCCCAGGTATAGAAACAGCTCTTAAAGTTTGTCTGTGCTTGTTTTTTCTTGACTATATTGGGTCATCGTTTTTCTTGGTCTTTTTTTTCTTGAACTGAGGATTGAACTCAGGCTCTTGCACTTGCCAGGCAATTTCTTGGTCTTTTTGAGACAGGTCTCAATATACAGTTCAGGCTGGCCTTGAACTCACTTTATAGCCCAGGCTAGTCTTGAACTCACAATCATCCTCCTGCCTCAGTCTCCCTAGTGCTAAGGAAAAGCTTTTTTTTTTTTTTTTTTTTTGTACTAAGGATCAAACTCAGGATCTTGCACTTGCCAGGCAGGCGCTTATGCAACTTAGTTAGCTCCCTAGCCCAGTTATCTTTCTGCATGATCCTTTTTCTGGGGCTTTCTCCCCTCTGTCTGCCTATCAAATATTCTGCTGTTGCTTGTGCTTTTTCCCTCTATAACCGTTTCTCCCTTGCTTGCCTGATGAATGTACTTGTTGTTCAATATCCAAGCTTTCCTGACCATGCTAGCATGCTAGTATAAGTTCCTGGAAACCTCATTTCGCTTCCTTAGCAGTTTCTCTTTCGTTTTGGTCACAGCATTGCCCATGTAATGGGTACCACCACCCTGCCCAGGCTGCACAGATCCTTGGTTTATCCATCTGGGCATCCTCAGCTTCTGCAAGGGACTCCCATGAACAGCTCCTGGGCTGGCCACTGCTCTTCCCATCCCAGCGGTGCGCTCCCTCCCAGGCATTGCAGGCTGATCTCCGGTGCACAGCGCTGCACAGCAGTGGAGGAGCAGCCCTGCCGGACCTCAGTCCCAGAAGGATATATATACAGGCCCAGAAGAGGTCGTGGTCAGTAACTGCAGACTCTCTGTTTCCAGAACTGCTCTGAATGCAAGGAGAAGAGGGCAGCCCACATCCTCTGCACCTACTGCAACCGATGGCTGTGCAGCTCCTGCACGGAGGAGCACCGGCATGGCCCCGCTCCTGGAGGCCCACTCTTTCCCCGCTCCCAGAAGGGATCCCCAGGTACTGCTTCCCGCTCCTCAGCTGTTCCCATCCTGAACATAGAGCTGAATTCTACATTCCCTGGAGAATAGCTCTTTGGCCTTGTTTCCCAACTGGCGGAGCAGGTAGGGGTGATTATGAGCCTTTCCCAAAGGGAGGAAGTCTTCATAGTCATAGGGTGACTCACCCTTGGCTCTGCCTGATAGGCCTGGGGTGGGTTGATTCAGGGACCTTGATGGAAAGTGAGTTTCTTCTGCTTGCCACGTCCGATTAGAGCAGTCTGCATCACCTGTTTAGGGACTTGATTAACTTGGTCTGGATCAGAGCTTGCCCCCATATCCATCCAACACCATGCATTTTAAATTAAAACCTGGAAAGTCTTTTTCATAAGGCCCTAGGATTAGAGGAAGAGCTTTCCATTTGTCATAGCCATATGTTTATTTCCATTTGTCTAGCCTGGAGCCTGGTAAGGCTGAATGGCTGCTTTCAACCTCCTCATAACAAAAAATTGATGATTGGAGAGGTTCAGGTTAACTTGGGGCGATTTATTATCCTCTGGGAGGTCCTGCAGCTTCCTTGGCTTGTGGCACGTGGTAGGGCACTGGGGCTTATATGTGTGCTGTTTTTGGACAGCTGAGCAAGTCTAGCCAGGCCATGCTTGAATTCCTCCTGGTACCCCCAAAACCTCCTGTCCCAGAGAGAGGCTCCTGCTGTTTACAAATACCTCTCCCAAGCTCTGTTTCTCTTCTCTGTGCTTTGAGGGCTGTGGAACTGCTCCATGGAAACAAGAGGTCCACTCAAAGCAGGATGAGCCCACTTTCTCTGTCCTCTCTGGCAGGAGTGAATGGTGGTTCTGGGGACTTCGCCTTGTACTGTCCTCGACATACGCAGGAAGTGCTTAAGCTGTTCTGTGAGACCTGTGACGTGCTCACATGCCATAGCTGCCTAATGGTGGAACACAAAGAACACAGGTGGGGCTGCTGGGCTACCTGAAGTGGGTTTGGGGGCAGCTCCGGGTTTCTAATGCATCAGCATCCTTTCCCTGCCCAAGACACCCTTCAGCCTCTGGACTGAAGCTTTTTCTTTACTCTTGCTATGGGGATTCTCTAGAAAATGCCTGGAGAAGCATAGGCCTGCAGTGCCTTTGACTATAACTGTGGTCTGTATGGGCCCAGCTGAGGTAGTGCACTGTTAGGGATTCCTGTCTGGAGGGCATGGTCAGGACAGGAGTCAGTTCTCCTCAGCCTTTTCTTTGTTTCTTCCCCTAGGTGCAGACACGTTGAAGAAGTTCTACAAAACCAGAGGATGCTTTTAGAAAGTGTGACTACACAGGTGGCACATAAGAAATCCAGCCTGCAGACATCTGCAAAGCAAATTGAGGACAGGTAGCACCAGCTAGTGCCTTGCCAGTGCTGGGAATGCTCTTTTCCTTCAGAGCCTGTACCCTGCACTAGGCCATCAGATATAGTGCCTTATGCAGAGGACATGTGGTTAAGCAGATATGGGCATATGTTCTAGCCTTGGGTCATCACTTGGTGATTGAAGCCAAGCTGGTTCAGTAAGATCAGAGTGAGTCTAGGCCAAAGGATATGCATTGTGAACCAGCAAGAAGTAGGTGCTTGTGAACAAATGTATGCAAAGGTACTGGGGGAGAGAGAAAGTGTAGGCCTCTAAGCTCTTGGCTTTTACATTTGCTGTTTCTCAACTCTTATGACCCTGAGAGAAGGGCTCACTGTGTTTTGTTCTACTGTATTTATAGGATTTTTGAAGTGAAGCATCAGCACCGGAAGGTAGAAAACCAGATCAAAATGGCAAAGATGGTTCTGATGAATGAGCTGAACAAACAGGCCAATGGACTCATAGAGGAGCTGGAGGTACATGTGAACAGATGGGCCAGATTGAGGAGTTCCGTGATCCTTCTGGGTTAGAAAGCAAGCGTATATCAAACAAGTCTCAGAGCCTAGACAGTCTGGGCTAGAGTCTAATATGCTATTTCTATAGCTCTCTTCTGCTCTTTGTGTCTTAAAGTCCAGCTTAATCATGAGAGTGCAGCTTATTAAGAGCTGGAAAATTAGTTCAGACTTCACTAATGGAATGGGTCTTAAGTAGCTGCCATCTTTGACTGTGCAGGGTTATTATAGTCATGGAAGAAAGAAGTACAGAACAACCCTCCTTTTTCCAGTAGGCTCTGCCCAAGACTTGTTGACTTTTATGTATTTTCTTATTTGTCACCCATCCCATATTTGCACCTTAAGGTCTGCAGTTTCTCCCACCCATCTTCTATCCATCAGCAGGTCATGACAGCGCTCCGTCTTGCTCTTTGCTTCTTGGAAATGCAGTCTCATCTGATTCCATCAGTGTTCACGCTGAAATATATAGGCCACTAGACTTCCCAAGCAAGCCCAAAAACAAGGTCAGGGACTCTGTCTTCTCTCTGTGTACCCAGGGCATTACTAATGAGAGAAAGCGGAAGCTGGAACAGCAGTTACAGAGCATCATGGTTCTCAACCGTCAGTTTGAGCATGTGCAGAATTTCATCAATTGGGCAGTCTGCAGCAAAACCAGCGTCCCTTTCCTTTTCAGCAAAGAACTGGTAAGTGAAGACTCTAACCCCTCAGCTTGTCCTTAAATCTTAGGTATCTTAGGGGTAGTGAGGAAGTTCCTTTTTTTGATGCTCCATCCATCCTTTGAACTCACTGATTTAGGGTTAGGAGGTGAAAATCATATTTTACCAAGTCCCATGGACCCAGGTGCTGGGATGATCCATCCTTCCAGGTAGCTCAGTGAGTTAAGTCTATGGTTATTTATCTCAGATAATGATTCAGATATTACCCTGGACCAGAGCAGTGTGCAGACATCTCATATGAAGTTATTGAGGTCTAACTGGTGGCTAAGAGGAAAGGAGGGGTTGAAGAAAATTTTGAAGTTTGGGCTTGGGAGGATGATGATACCCCGGAGGCTGAGGAGGAAGAAGAATTTTGAGAGAAGTTGACAAGGTTTATATGTGGATATGTTACATTTAAGCTTGCTTGTAAGACATATGAAAGGAGACATCCAAAAGCTGTCTTCATAGATAAGTTTGGAAGGCAGAAGAAAAGTCAAGGGTGGAAGCCAAGATGTGGGAGTCATTGGGACATTGACATACCATCATGGCAGTGTGTATAGAAGAGGAGAACAGATCTGGAACCTGGGGAATAGACAGAGAATAGAACAGATCTGGAACCTGAATAGACAGAGAAAGGGTGGGTGAAAAAGAATGAGAAGCCAGTCTGAAGTTACAGGAGAACTAGGACTGTGGCAGGTAGAAGTCGACAGTTTCAGATGTTACGTGGTCATCGTTGTCCACACTACCCAGGTGAAGTAAGATGAGCTGTGGCGAGAAACCTGGAGAGTGAAGTCAGGAGGTCCATGTTGATCTTTCGAAGTGAGTTTCAGCAAAGCAGAAGAGTTAGAAGCCAGAATGAGGAGACTGAAGTTGTTCTGTCACTCTGAGGGAGTGAGGCAGTGGAGACAGAAGTGAGAAGAAGGAAGGGCCAGCCAGATAGCTCAGTGGATTAAAGCACCTGTGTGGACAGATGTGGGACTGGGGTTCAATCCCTGATGTGTTGTGCTGGCCACACACCCAGGGTGAGCTGAGATGGCGATTGAGACTGGATGTGGTGGTGCACACCTGCAATCCCAGCACTTGGGAGGCTGAAAACAGGAGGATTACTCTGAGTCCAATTTGTGTAGTGAGATTCTGTAGACCCTGTCCTAAATACATTAAGAAGAAGAAGAAGAAAAAGAAGAAGAAGAAGAAGAGGAGGAGGAGGAGGAGGAAGAAGAAGGAGGAGGAGGAGGAGGAGGAGGAGGAGGAGGAGGAGGAGGAGGAGGAAGAGGAGGAGGAGGAGAAGAAGAAGGAGAAGTGAGAAGAAGTGAGAAGAAGGGGAATAAGCAGTTGTAAAAAGGAGAGGTTGATGAGAGAGTGGAGAAATGAGTGCTGGGCTGAGCGTATTGTGAAGAGGGAGAAGATGTATCCAGAATGAACTGGGTGATCTCAAACACAAGGGTGCTCCCTTCCTCTGAGATGGGAGGACAGGAAAGGATCAGTATAATGTAGTTCAGTGTGGAGGTAGGAGGGTTACAAGTTTAGGGCATTTGCTTTCTTTGGTCTCTTTTCTCCTCTGTGTAAGAAGAAGGTAGAAGTAAGAGCTAACATTAGGTGAGTAGTATTTAAGTGATGTGAAGAATTCAAATTATCACCCTGTCTCAGAAAAAAAAGAAAAGAAAAAATCAAGGTGTTGATGGGAACATTAGTTAAGTAGGCAGTGGCAGGGTAAACCACACATTTGCCAAAGTGTTAGATAAATGAGAGAGCTAGTGATGGAAAATAGATTAGAGTGACAGCAAAGGAATATGGCGTCTGAGTAGAACATTGGAAAGAGTAATGGGGAACTATTTTCCACATGTAGGGTTTTAAACAGAGGTGATTATAGAATGAATGACGAAGGCTCTTAGCAGCTGATATCCAGAGCAGAATTACAAATCCCTTGAGGCCCAGAAGACTGAAGAATGCAGGGAATCCCAGGGCGCACTGAGACGGCATTTGAGACTGGGCATGGTGGCGTGCGCCTGTAATCCCAGCTCTTGGGAGGCTGTAAACAGGAGAATCACTATGAGTCTGATCTAGTAGTGGGACCCTGACACCCTATAGACCCTTCCTTAAAAAATACAAAAAAAAAAAAAAAAAAAAAAGAATACAGGGACTTTGGAACCCCTGATTAGAGGAAGGGGACCAGGTAGGAGGATGGGAAGGCACTAAGGTACAAAGAAATGAGACTATAGGAGATGCCCAGAGGCTAAAGAGCCTGGACTTTGAGCCCTTTCACCTATCCAGAGAGCAAGGAGAGGCGGTTGTCACTGGGGGACATGATGGCCACATAAATGACTTCGGTGCTGCTGTCAGATTGTTTTTCAGATGCAACGACTGCTGGAGACAAATTGTAACACAGACCCTGGCTCCCCTTGGAATATCAGATTTACCTGGGAGCCTAACTTCTGGACCAAGCAGCTGGCTTCCCTTGGTGAGCTAGGATTCATTAGGCGGGCTCTGACCTAAACGCTAAGAAGAAATATGGGGAGCCTGCTTCGATTCCTGGGTGGGTCAGCAGGTACCACCAGTGGTCATGGAGTCACTCAGTGAATCTCTTTTGGTGTGAGTGGAGAGGATGAGGGGGCTAAATATGGTGGGAGCATACAACTGTAAGAAGACCAGGTAAAACGTGGGCTTTCTATGCTACTGAAATGTCCCTGTTACCTGGGTTTCATTGCTGGAGAGGGGGTGAGGCAGTGGCCCTGCTCTCTAGAGCGCTGTGTGGGAAAATATTCTCTGTGACCACACAGAATATACGAGTGTGGGTAGAAGCAGGCATCTCAGTAGCCTACTGTGGGTCCATATTGCAGATCCGCTGGCTCTGAGATATTAGTAGATAATTCATGGCCTCGTGTGGTTTTTTCTCTGCTACAGTAATTAGTGATTTGCGGGCATTTAGTCTTGTTTTTTTTTTTTTTTTTCTCTTCTGTGGCACCTCCAGGCATCTTATGATTTTTTTTTTTAGGATGCTTTAAACAATTTATTTAACTGAAATGCCATACATGGACTTTTATTTATTTTGATACATCTTTTACCTATGGTGATTTACAGGCTCTTCAAGCCAATATAAATATTTCATAAATATTTGTCCATTTGGGTGTGCACCTGTACAATACCTCACATCTTTCAGCAAGAAAAACACCAAAGAGTAAAACTGACACAATTAACTGGGTACAGTGAGAATCGCTCCAAATATTTGTTTCTTAGAGGTAAGGACACCATGCACCTGTTCAATTAAGAAAACCATCCTTACAACACAGGCTGATGTTTTATTTTTAAGTGAGGCCTAGCACATTTAGCCACTAATTAGGTGCCAGATGGCAGCGCTCCATTGCCAGCTTATGCCATGAATTCAGAGGGAAGAGGTTCCAACAGGCTCCTGCCCGTGTTCTCACAAAGTGTGCTTCTCTGGGTGGGGCAGGCTGGCGCTTCAGTTGAACCCAGGTACCTTTCTCTTTGGTCTTCAACTTTGTCTGATCATTATCCTTGACACATTTCAGAAAGCTGTCTCAACTGAGAGTTTAACATGCTCAATACACACATTAATCCTCTTGGCAGGTATCTTGCCCTTAATTTGCTTGTTTATGCGGGTGCCCACAGTGTGCTGGGTAGCACCATAGGCCCTTCCAGTTCTGCTGTGGTACATTTGTGAGGAGCTCCTTCTCGCACAATACCCATTGCCTTGGTGCCTACGATATCATCCTTTTTTATAGATTTTCATATATGTGGCCAAAGGGACAACTCCATGTTTTCTAAAAGCCTAGAGAACATATATCAATCAGGTTCTCTTCTTATTTCCTTTGTGTTTGTCATTTTGGAAAATTAGTGGAAGATGGAGGTTCTGACTGGAGGGTTGACACTTCCACTTAAAAGTCTATTAACCAAGCACCTTTGTGCTGTGCTACATCCTCAACCTTTTTTAAAAAATAATTTTGAGGCAGGGCCTCACTGAATCACTAAATTGCCTAGGTTGGGTTTGAAGTCATAACCTTCCTGCCTCAGCCTTCCAGAGGCCTGGGACTACTGGCATTCAGTCTGTAGGCAGAGCATAGGCAACTCCAAGTTATGCCTGTCTTGACAACCTAATGGGCTTGCTAAACTAATGACCAACTTCCTCCTTTATTTCAAGCTGTTGCTTTCAGTGAAACTGAGATAGATGGCAATGTGATAGATGGTGTTAAATTTATTTTCAGCTTTCCTCTTCCCTTTGATCTAATCCAGCAGGCCTGTGACAGGCCCTCCTCTAGGTTAGGCCCCATGCTTTAGAGCCCAAGGTAAATCAAACCACACCCTTTCCCCTCAGTTTTCCCCTGAGGATGTCTCATCAAAACAATGAGGTAAAGGAGCCATTAGGTTGAGAGAGCAGTAGGTATCATTTCCTCAGGCACGAAGGGTCCTGAGACCTCAGAGGACATTCCTGCTGCGTTATGGGAGCTTCCTTGATGTCTTCCACCTTCTTTGCTCAGCATACAGTTCCTCTGACTTGTGTCTTTCTCATTTGTCCCAGGAGATCCTATCCCTGTGTTGATTCTTTTAGTCAGAATCTTACCTGGGTTGCTGTGCTGGAAAAGGAGTGGGTGCTCCTTCAAGGAGCCCACGGTTTCCCTAGCAGGATAGAAATGGTCGGGGTGATTCTCTGGTAAGAGCTAAACTAATTCCTCAAGTATCCTTGACCTGTGAAGCAGGTTCATACAGGGGACACTACTGCACTATGTTAGATTCAGTCTTGGAGATCTAGGGTTGATTTCCTAATTACTGGGCCTGGTGCAGGTTCATTGCACGACGTCTTTTGGTCCTAGGTGCAAGAAGTAGCATGGGAGGTGGTGACAGGATCTGTTGCTTACTTGTACTTTTTGTTCTCAATTTCCAGGATGCATAACCACGGAAGGTGGACAGCTGTCCCGGATAGATGCTCCTGCTTATGGAGGCTTACAGGGGCCACCATCCTTTTATCAAAGTCACCAGTCCCCGGCGGCTCAGCAAGAGGCCCTTAGCCACCCCTCACACAAGTTCCAGCCTCCAGCGCTCTGCTCCTCCTCTGTGTGCTGCTCCCATTGCTCCCCAGTCTCGCCCTCACTCAAAGGCCAGGTGCCCCCACCCAGCATCCACCCAGCCCATAGCTTTCGGCAGTCCTCTGAGATGGCGCCCCCCCATCTGGGGTCCCTGCAGTGCTCCACCCTGCCGCCCAGGGAGAAGGAGGTGACCTGCAACCCTCACCCGCCAAAGCTGCTGCAGCCCTGGCTGGAAACCCAGCCCTCAGCGGAGCCGGAGAGCACGTCCCAGCGGCCTGGGCAGCAGCTGACTTCCCAGCCTGTGTGCATTGTCCCCCCGCAGGACGTCCAGCAAGGAGCCCATGCCCCGCCCGCAGTGCAGACACCCTCCATCCAAGTCCAGTTTGGCCACCACCAGAAGCTGAAACTCAGTCACTTTCAGCAGCAGCCACCACCACAGCAGCTGCCCCCTCTGCCGCCTCCACCCCCTCCACCCCCGCTGCAGCCACCCCCAACTCTACCTCCATCCCAGCACCTGGCTTCTGCTCAGCATGAGAACACCCCTGGGCCTGCCTGTTCGCAGAACGTGGACATAATGCACCACAAGTTTGAGCTGGAGGAGATGCAGAAGGACTTGGAGCTCCTCCTTCAGGCCCAGCAGCCCAGCCTGCAGCTGAGTCAGACCAAATCTCCGCAGCATCTTCAGCAGACCATTGTGGGGCAGATCAACTACATTGTGAGGCAGCCAGCGCCTGTGCAGTCCCAGAGCCAGGAGGATGCCCTGCAGGTGAGCTGTCCCACCCCAGGGCTACTCAGGAATGGAGCCTCCTCAGTCCTAGCATGGCCCACTAAGCCACTTCCTCATCTTAGGGTGACTTTGAGCCTGGTTCTCAGATTTCAGAACTGCTCTGGACTCAGCCTCAACATCAGGAAGGCTGTGGGGATCATAGTGCCTCGTCCCAACATAGTTCTCCAGAGTGACCTGGCTTAGCCTGGTCTTCCTGGATGACACCAGGGACTTGGTCCATAAACAGGACCTTCTAAGCTATGCTGGACTCCTACCATTGTGAGGACAGATATACTTTTATGTTTGTAACCTTCCAAACTCTCTTACTGGGAACTTACTCGGGGAAGGGGAGAATTAATAAGGCACTTTTATAATACTGCACAGGCCTAGCCCTAAACTTAACTTAGTATCTACTAGACTAGGCACATGTTTATGTGTATCATTTATCCAACATTGTTCAATTAGTATTTACTCTCAGTATTTTATAGTTGTAGCAGTGGGGATTAGAGAGAACAAGCAGTTTGCCTAGAGATTGTACAGTGTTGAATAAACCTTTGAATCCCAAGCATTTTCTATAACACTACAGTAGAGGCCTCAATCTTATCTTAGGAGGATGTTGAATGCCTCTCCTCTGTTTTCTCAGCTAAAAGTCAGTTGAAGAAGTGTAGTTCATATTGCAGTGTTATTTTTTGTGTTTCATGTCTTTATTCTTAGTCTCTGTTTTTCTTTTTCTTTTTTCCTCAGAGCTCCTATTCCACCCTCTTTCTCCCTACCTCTTCTCACTTTTTTCATGCTTGTCTCCTGAACATCTGTAATCACATATCTTCAAAGAAATTCTGTAGACTTTTGTCTTGTTTAAAAAAAAAATAAGGCCTCACATTTTTGATTCAGCGCTGACAACTTCAGATGCCTCTTTACATGTTATCTGATGAGGCTCAATTCTGTGGAAGGTACATGGAGTAATTCCTGTGATGGCAAATAAGGCTTAGGGTTCATAGAGGCCCACAAGCTAAATCTAAATCAAAATTGAGTTATGGGGCTGCAGGGATAGCTCAGTGGTAGAGTGCTTGCTTAGCATGCATGAAGTCCTGGGTTCAGACCCCAGCACTGAAAACCAACCAACTAACCAAGCAACAATAAAACTAAAGCAACAACAACTGCAAAAAGTTATGTTATGTTTGCTAAAGTGTTTATGATAGTGTTAGGTTCGAATTCTTGGCCTGGGTTCTGTCGTTGAAAAGTAGTTTTACAAAGGGTTTAGATATCATTCTTTTTCATTTTTGAAAGCGTTTAAAGCAGTTTACACGTAGGTAGTTACAGTGGGCAGGACAGGATAGACACTAGCTAGACCTTGCTGCGGCTTCTACTGCTCTACTTCATCTGATCTCTGAAACAAAAGCACCCAAGTTCTTACTTTCATTTCTAGGTTACAGATGAGCCTCTGGCCTCAGAGGGCCCAAAGCCTGCTCTCCCTCCTGACAAGAACGCCGCTGCTGTCTTACCCCAGACATCTGGGGAAGAAACTCCTCACAGTGCCCCTCCAGTGGATAGCTCCACCCAACACTCCTCTCCGAATGGGGTGAGAAAGGTACTAACAGAGCCTGCTTTCCCTGACACAGGACCCACTGTCAGCCGAGCTCCTGGGCTCCTGGATGAGGACGAGGGGGTGGCGGGAGGAGTGTCTCTGTTCCATCCTGGGATGCCGAGCAGCCCTGACTCATGCCTTCTGTCCTAATGAGTCAGCAGCAAAGGTCCCTCTCCACCTCCATTTTCACTCCCACATGTACGCTTCAGATGGGGACCGCTGGGCTTCATTTGGCATGGAAAGGAAAGGGGAATGAGCCAGGGGATCTAATCCTCTGCCTTTAGGATGGACTTAGTGCCTTGTGAGCATTGTCTGTCTTAGCCCTCCCTTCCAATGGTTGTCTGAAGTGACCACTGAAAGCAGGAGCCCAAGGCCCTCCAATTACAGGAAGAGAGAGATGAAGTTGTTTTCCTTTTGGCAGTGACAATGGGGAAAATATTTTATGTGGCACCCACACCACAGCCCAAGACTCACTGGCCTTAGAATTTGAATCAGTAAATTTGTTGAGTGGTCAAGGTATGTCTTGTGGAGGTAACCAAGTACCTGGGCACACTAGGATTTCTTGAAGATGAGCTATGGGAGATGTTCTTGTACACTTGCCTTTCAGCTTGCTGGAAGTGTTTATTTACCTCAGCAATAACCCAGAACCTCACAACCCCTACTGTTCCCCTCCTGCCACACCCTTGTCTTGCCTTAAGCTGGACCCTCAGTATTGTGTGGTTCCTTCACTCACTCAGCTTGTGGCCCTGTTCCACTTCTCCTGCTGCCTTCTCAGACCTTGAGCCTTCAGGCCTCCTGGTGCCTCCAGCCAGCCCTGATCTCGAAGCTCTGGAGTTAGTCAGTCCATACCCCCTCAGTGTGGTTCTCCAGCTCTGCACATCCTCCGGCCTTGCAGTCCCGGCTCTGTTAGTTGTGCAGTGTGTTACCCCTTGCCACACTTCCCCAGCAGAACAGCCACCATACATGTCCTAGATCAGTCAGTCTCAGTGACACCTGAGATGAAAATTAAGAAAATGATCGCAGAAATTAGAAGATGTGAGAGAAAAAAAAAAGAAATGTTAACTTGAACATTTTTTGGTGACTCTTGGAAGTCTGAGTAGGCCTCTGATATTTGTGACTTTTAACCTATTTTGTCTTAATAGTTTGCCCTAGGGAGAACCTAGATCCTATACAAAGGGCAACTGAAAAAAAATATGGTGAGGGTGTAAATTAAAAAAAAAATTATTACACTAAAGATCATACTACTACCCCTGTGTAAAATACTTCTATTCCTTAGAATACACTTATACCATTGTTCTTGCCACTTTCTGAAGCAGCTCTGGAAGTCCTCTTTCATGGGTGTCTTTATGAGATGGATGCTGTTGCTAAGATCCATCCAATGGAAAGCCAAGCTCATAAAAAGATTACTGTGTGTCCATCTTATTCACCAGATCTGGCATTGTGCAACTTCTGGCTCTTTCCAAACATCAAAAGGACCATGAAAGATAAATGTTTTGAACTGATTCAAGACCTCAAAGCAGCCATGACAGTGCAACTAAAGACACCCACAAAAGAGGTCCTTTGTGGCTGTTAGAGATTTAACTTCTTGCGGTTGGGTTATCAATTTATGTATTCATTCTATGTTAAAGCAATCATGCACAAAATCACACAAATCTCTTTGTACATGTCAAATACTGTGCTAGGTGCTGGGCACACATTGGTTGATGCAATAGTCCTATATTTAGAGCATATATATAGAGTGGGGAGAGATAAATAAGCAACAGAAACAAATTATGATAAAGTGCTATGGTAGTTACTGGGGTGTGCTCTAGTGGAGCACTCGAGTCTAGTAGAAGGGCCTGTTTGCAGAATGTTTCTTAGAAGGTATGATTTTAAGCTGAGGTCTGAAGGGGAAGTTGGGCTAGTGAAGAGGAAAGTAAAATAGTCTCAGGGAATAGCAACCTGAAAAGTCCAAAACTGAGAGAAATTCTGGGGCACTAAGGGGGCTTCACACAAATTGGCTTGATAGGAGGTACTCCAGGGAGGGAGGGTGATCGACACCAGAGTGGTTGGAACATCTTCTCAATTATGCTTAAAGTTGAGATTCAGTCTTAGAAATTGGTTGGGGGATGACTGAAGGATTTTTAGCAAGGAAGACATGGCTTGAGTGAAATTTGAAGGGTCATTGCAGTGGTGGTAAGGGAGACCAGAAGAGTAAGAGGAAAAAGAAGAGATCAGACCAACTCAGTAGCCATAGGGAGGAAGAGAAGCAAGGGTTTGTTTCAAGAGTTACCAGATCTCAAGAGCTTGGGATTCGGTGTCTGGTTGATGGTTGGAGATGAGGCAGAGAAACTTCTTTGGCTCAATATTCAGGTGTGTGTTGGCTCATTGGAATGGTAACACAGGGAAAAGCACATTCCTGAGGGGAGGAAGAAGTTAAGTTTTGAATTGTCCATGTTCTCCCATGGAAGATGACTAGAAGGCAACTCTATAGATGTCTGTTCATCTGAAAGCCTGGGATGTGCTGTGCTCAAGTGATAGTGGAAGTCGTGCAAAAGATGCTGCTGCTTAATTGTTAAAGCTCAGTTCTGTTCCTGTATATGGTGTGGCAGAAGGGAGGGGAGCCACATCTAAGCATAAGCATGATGTGACTGGCCCACAAAACTCTTTGAGCAGTAAGGGACACTGCCCCCCTGTGTGGCTGCACATTGGCAGTGGAGTTAGTGAAGGTCCTAGGACCTTTCTAAGAACTCTTCTTATTTTGAGCTGTTTCTGACCCTTAAGTACTAGCGCTCATGTAGAGGTTTGGAGAGGCAGATGGCCTGATATTGTTCAGATGTTTATGGTGCTAGTGGCCTGGACTTCCTAAAAAAGCATTCACAAGGTTGTGATCTTGATCTAGAGGAACTTCTTTGGGTTGACACAGAGGTATTGATTATATACAAAGTTACTTCAACAGGAAAAAAGGCTTTCTTTTCAAAGGAATATGTTGCCTTGAGGCTGAGATTGGATGGGATGGAGTGTGTGAAGCTTGAGAATAATTTGTGTAGTATTTTTCTACCTTTTCATAGGATTTCACATGGATTATTCCATTTTATCTGTTTATCCTAGCAATACTATGAGGAAGTCATTTTATTACTTCCCTTTGAAAGATGTGGAAACTGAGACACAGAGAGGTTAAGTGACCCACTAAACGATATACAGATGAACATGGCACTGTCAGCCTTGCACCAGGAATCCACCAATATTAGTTTAAATTTCCTCTCTGTGTACTGCACTGAGAGAAATAGGATTCTGTTTGGCCTCTCACATGCTGGATTTTTCCTATGTCTGTATTCTTTCAAGTAGCCTGAGGCCTCACTGGGGAGTAGTCCGAGGACTCAACCTTCTTTGGTTCTTGATTATCTTGATCTGGTAAAGTTAAAGATAAAAAGTAAAGGTAAAGGTAAAAGTAAAGGTGCCTTGACCTCCAACCATTCCTTCCCCTGTGCTGACTTGTGAGTGACAGGGGAGTCAAAAGTCTATCTGAAGGTCCCAGACCAGAGGAACCCATGGCAACAGGCATCTTTCTGTGCATTCCATGTCAAATCTAGATTACCACAAGGAGGACATTTGTTAGAGAACAATATCTGTGACAAGGACCTTGGACTTGGTGCTTAAGTGAGCTCATAGTAAAAATGAGATGTGAAAATCCTAGAAAAGATTTTCTTCAGAACTAAAGTTTGTGCTCTCAGAATCAACTTACCTTTCACCTTCAGGATATTTGAAAAATAACTTTAACATTTGTCCAGTGCAAGATTCTCAGTTTTGGATCAACTACTCCACCATGTTGATAACTCCACGGCAGAACCTCTTACCTCCTAAGTGAAACTGGCAGATGTTTTGATGGCTTCTTTTCATGCTTCTGAACTAGTCAACTGCTCAACTGGATGATCCTTTTCTCAAAGCTCTCCCTGGAGTTGAAGCTGTAGGCATTGTAGCCAGCCTGGAGTCCCAGTTCACCTGGAGGATGGACTTCTCTTCTGCTTCTCACAATGTAACTCCAGATCTTCCACAGAGGACTCAATACCAGGGGGATGCTGCTCTTGGCTTGAGAAGAGTCTGAGATGAACTTCCAGTTAATGATATGGAAACAATGGGCCTTTCTGTGGCCCGGGTTATTAAAAGTGATGCAGAAAAGGATAATGATTCAAGTGACTTTTACATCATTATAAAGCACTTCAACTGAACTCTTCATTTAACTTCTATAATGGCTCAGTGAAATTTATATCATCCTGTGGAGGAGGAAGGAAGCCTCAGAGATGGCAACTGGCTTGCTTAAACTAATACCATAAACCCTGGGGTGTGTGAGGCATTATTAGAAATTTTGCCTTGAAGGTCTCCCAATAAACTGCTATGGACCAGATAGACCATGGATATTCGACCTCAGCAATGATCTCTCCCTTGTGGCCTGGCTGTGACAGGAACCAGAATGTTCTCAGGACCTTGTATATCTGCTCTGACTTACTCAGGAGTTATGCCAAATACTTCCCATGTCTGGCTTCCTAAATTTGGCACTTGCTGAAAGGCCTGTCACTTTGTTCTTGATTTCATTCACAGAACAAACCTATGATCTTTGCCTATTTTTCTGGCAAATAAAAAAACAGACCCTTGGGGCCAGGGAGATAGCTCAGTGGCATAAGCGCCTGCCTGGCAAGTGCAAAGCCCTGAGTTCAATCCCCAATACTGCAACAAACAAACAAACAACCCCCCAAAAAACCAGACCCTTGCTCATAGGCCTCATAGGCCCTGAGTTTCCTTCACTGGCCTGGGTAAAAATGCTCATGACTATGACAAAATGCTCATGAGCCTCCAACATTTGGGTTTTGAGAGTTTCACTCATCTGTCTTTCACTGTACTTATTCCTTTCTTTTCCTTCTACCTCAAACTCTTGGATTCTCTGTTTTTCTGTCTTTTTCAGATGATCAGAGCCCTTGGTACTTTTCACTTCTTTTTTGTGCACTGTCCATAAACATTGTTCCATT